AGCGGGTCGAGTTTGGTCGTGCTAGGACTGGCCACAGCGGCACCGGAGCAGCGGTACCGGAGCAGCGGCACCGGAGCAGCGGCACCGGAGCAGGCGGACGACATCGAACCGTGGCGCACGGACAAACATCCCTTGTATTGTCAGTTTTTTTTCCGTTGTTTTTTCCTGAATACAGGTGTTGGGGTGTGTGTAATGACGTCACTGGTTTTGTAGAGAGGCGCGGCAGAGATGGCGCGGATAACCCGGGTGCCTTAATTGCGTACCTGCATCGCGGAAGACCCCTTCAATGTGGAACAATTCCTAGTCAGTGTCGATGTTTACACTGTGCCTAACACAGATGATGTGGATAGATTCGGGTGATTGTCAATTGCAATGATGCTTTGGTTGGGCGTTCTTCATTGTATGTCCACAGACTCATTCTGACAGCACTTCAGACAGCAGCTCCATGCCCCGAGCTTGTGTACCATACACCATGGTGTTATTATTGTACAGACAGCACTTCAGACAGCAGTACGCTGTAGTCGACAAACATTCATTTTGGTAAAATGCGGGACAAGGGGGATGATGCTGCTGCTGTAGTCGATTTGTAGTGTGTGGGCGTGTAGTTCAGTTGTGAGCACGCAAACGTGCTGCAGGGATTGCAGGTGTACCCTTTCCTTGCTAATAGTGTGTGCGTTCTTTAGATCTTCTGATGGCTCTAGCATTTTTGTGACCACGGACCGCGTCTTTGCTAGATTTTGGGATTAGCAACTGCACGAGTTTAATGTGAAGAAAACAACAACAACAACAACAACAACAACAACAACAACAACAACAACAACAACAAGCTGCTGCCAGTAAGTCATCCAGGCTCTATGGCAAAGCGTAAGTCCGACACCGAGGATGCATTAGCTATTGTCAACAGAAGGGGAAAGCCGCACATATTCGTAACCGTCACGTTTAACGCAGACTGGAAAGAGGTCAAAGACAATCTATTGAATGGGCAAACTGCATATGACCGTACAGACTTGTCGAGTTTTTAACTTGAAATTGAAAGCAATAATGAAAGAAATAAGAAGCGGACGAGTTTTTGAAAAAAGTATGACAGTCATTTAAGCGTAATCGAGTTTCAAGAAAGAGGGTATCCTCACGCGCACATCCTTCTATCGTTTAAAAATGAAGGCCAAGACAAGTGTAACCAAATCGACGAGCGGGTATGGGCCCAACTGTTGAGCGCAGACCTTGCACGTGGCAAACTCCGGGACAAAGTGAAAAAATACATGGTGCACAAGCCTTGCGGAGCTCACAACGTAAACTCGCCGTGTATGGAGACAAACCGAGACACAAACACAAAACATTGCAGTAAACACTAACCTCAACCGTTTGAAAGCACAGAAACATCAACGACCGTACAGGACGCGCAGAATACAAACGTGCCGACAATGGCGAAAATCCCACCATACGTGCAAAAGTTGGCGGGAAGTGGCAAGACGTTCGGATCAGTAATCAGCGGATTGTCCCGTACAACCCGTGCCTTTTATTGATGTTTGATTGCCACATATGTGTCGACGTTGTCACTGCAACCGCATGCGTAAGATACCTCGTCAAGTATGTACACAATGGTGCTGATTATGCTAAAGCAAGGATCCAAGGCATCACAAGCGAAATCGAACAATATCTGCAGCCTATGGACAGTTGGAGTTGTCCTCGAGCCACCAGGACTCCTTTCCCCCAAGGGGCTGGTGATGTTTGTTTCTTCACTTGTATTATATCATCGATCACAAGATAGGAGGAGTGGAACACAAGACGGAGAGTCCACACAATCCTCACACACAGGGTATGGCCCCTGTGATATCTTCACACACGGAGTCCCCAAGATCTCCGTAGAACCTTCCTACACTGTGACTACCACGGCCAATGTCCACAATGCCCCCAAAGCGCATACTACATTCCAATCGTAGACACTATGTGCTTGACAAAACAATGGTAGGCACATACTAAATGATGCGAAACCACATAATCACACGCTAAAATTTTATTCAATCCTAACGCGTTTGTTTACACTAAACACCATATTCGCCTGATTTCGTGTTACTAATTATTTCATCATTATACTGTGTGATGGCGTCTTCAGAAACAACTACAAAAACCAAGACAAACATATAAATGAACAATGCTATCTTGCGGTAGTAAGATTTCCTCGCCCTTTTCCACGCAACTTCAACTCATTTGGCCGTTAAAAAACGATACCATAATCCTTTTTGATGTTGTCCTTGATTTCCTTGGATAGCTTCATCTTGCGCAACTCTTGCTTCAAAAACTGCGGCGCATCCTGGTAAATATCCGAAAGTGGTTGCCAAGTGTCTTCGTCCTCCTCGAACCCAGCCCACCGCACACGAACAAGATATCCCGATCCATCATGAGCTGGTCCAATGTTGAGAATAGATTCCATTTCATGTTCGCCTTGCCCGAAAGAGTGTTGGAACACGTCTTTGAGATCGGATGTGACGTTCAGTTCCGAATCGGCGTAGAACCGCAGACGAGCCACATGGACATCGCGGACCTGCCCATTAACGATGTTCTGAACACCGTAAACGTGCTTTTTAGCGGCCGATACCACGCGCCAAGGACCAGTCCAAGTAGAGGACAATTTGGGCGTGATTCCGCTGCGACGGACACGTGCCACCATCACATAGTCTCCCACCGTAAATGCTGGTAAATCACCGCGACTTGCCGCCGCACGTTGCCTGGCACGATTGTGATCCACCTTCTGTTGAATTTGTTTGTGCAGAACCGCTTGAGTCTGGATCACATTTTGGACTTGTTGTTTCAACTTGGTCGCATCAAGCGTGTCGATGTTCCAGGCTTCCCCAGACGACGACGCCAGGGTGGAAAAACTCGTGCGAGGAGCGCGGCCGAACATGACATGATAAGGTGTTGATGCATACCGCTCACGATACGCGGTGTTTAGCGCCCATTGAACTGCCGGCACCAGATCCACCCAGTCCCGCAAATTTCGCCGTCGTTCCTGCAAAACGGCTTTCATCGTGCGTACTACCTCGCGCATCATACGTTCGCACGTTCCATTCGACCAGGGCGAGTTAGCCACGGTAAAGCGTCGCTCAACACCCAACGCTTTCTCCAAGGTGTCCATTACGCTGTTTTTGAAATGAGTGGCGGTGTCGCTTACCCAAACTTCAGGCACACCCAGCGTTTTACACCAATTCAGGAGGTGTTGCGCCGTTAACCGCGCCGTGCACGTACCAGTCGGCTCCATCCACGCGAAGTTGCTAAGATCGTCCATCATCACCAACAAATATACATATCCATCAGATTCGTCCAGCCCATCCGCGCCGAGCGGTCCGCTCTTGCCTACATGAAGGTAGTCGAAGTGTAATACTTCTCCAGGTCGCTTGCCATGAACCGTCTCTCCAAAAGGACGCGGCACTATCTCACCAGATTTAGAATCCATACAATGCAGGCATTGTTGCACGAACTCCTTCACATCGCGGTCCATTGTAGACCAGCAGCAGTATTCCCGCAAGCGGTGCATCGTTGCTGTAACACCGCGGTGG